TCAAATTTTGAAATATCACAATTAAATTTTTTAATCGATTTGATTGGTTAATAATATGTTTTGATCATCGTATGTGATAAAATCGAATTTTGTGACAATATTGAATGGAGTCAAATCTGCCCATATGTTTAAGGACCGTTATGGGACCGAAGGACTGGACTATAAATACTATGATAACAGTTCTCTTAGGGACCAGACCAGATCGGACTGGACTGATGCAACCCTACTTGTGAGGTTTTCATGGGTTCTAAACATTTTTACTTAAGATACCTAATCCTGTTTACTTAGTACATTTTTGAAATATGGCATAGAGTTAGTATAGGGTGTTATAAACACGGTGTTATGAATATAACTTTCTATATTTTTTTAATATTTAAGGTAAAACCTTGCTCTTATCTTTATTAAACTTAATGAAAACTTTTTACATAATTGAAAAAGGTTTTGTAATTTAAGCTTAGTACTAAGAATAAGAACTCAGACATGTAATTAAAGCACGTTGGTATTCTGTGCCAGGTTATGTAGATCATATGCAAGTACTGTTACACATGCACCCTCCGCCACTATGGTAACCAATAAAAATCGATTTTGAAAATATGCTACTTATTTAAATGTTGGTATACTCTTTAAGTTAATAAAACCTCTCTAAATACACTCTTTTCAAGCATACAACCTCTTTAAAGACACTTACAAATTCAAGTCCGAAGATTTACTTGACCTCTCTAAATCACTTCTTTATAGTTTTTTTAAATGTATGTTGTTCAAATTTGATACAAACATTCGTACATACATATAAGCATTGTAGATTAGCAAGATTACTAGTTTTTTTTTTTTTAACAGGAGTACTGGTTTTTTTTTTTTTTTATGAGAGTACTAGTTTTTTTTTTTAGTGGGATTACTAATTTTTTTTTTTAGCGGGAGTACTAGAGTTTTTCAAGTTAGGTTTGGGGATTTGACTTTCATTAGAAGGATTTGAGGTTTCGACTTTTGTCAGAAAAGTTTGAGGTTTCGACTTTTGTCATCAAGCAAAAAAGATTTCGTCTAACAACTATACTTACAAGTAAATGCCTGCACATACAACATATATACATACCTTTTATTTATTTTGTTAATTGAAATAAATACTAGTTAATAGTGCTATGCCTAGAAGTAATTTGTATGTTAAAGAATTAACTGATGTTGAAATTTCATCCAAATATATAAAAATTAAAAAGCACTTTTTAAGTGAATATAACATTAAAATAATTGTTGAATTCAGGAATCATAATTTTGAATAATGTATATAGAATATACCATACCTGGATATTTATATTTATTTAATACCACAATATTATAAAATATACTAGCAAATTTGTCAAACTATCTAGTGCTATACTTAATATTTCTACCACAGGTTTACTGAACTAATAAAAAAAAATTTGAACATTTCAAATGCTATGCTATATAAACATTTATTACATATTAATTCAAAAAATTATTTGAAATATTTTTTTGCAAATTATGCTCCTTTTTGCTCATTGTTCTTGCCTTACGTTTGGGAATATTTTAAACATCATTTTCATTACTTTCAGAATGCACCCATTTCACATTTGGTTTCCTTCGCTTTATAGACTCAACTTGTACTTGAATTTTTCTACCACTCTTGATACATGCCAAAGGATCCGAGTTATAATTAAGGTCATAGAGAAAAGAATTCAATCTTGGAATAGATAGTGATTTGGCCGCTTTATATTGCTCTGCAAACTTATTCAATGCTAAACGCAGTTGTAGATTATTACTTTCATAATCTTCTTTGACCTCTTTCAAAAAAGAGTCAAAAGAAAAATCATCAACTTGATCCTCAGATTCGCTTCAAAAAAAAAAAAGGTACGTATTATTTAATTATAATAAAAAAAAGGTATTATTTAATTAAAAAATAAAAATAAAAGATAACTAACTGGTCTGTTATAATATCGGTACTGGTATCAATACTTGTTGAATTAGTAATATCATGTAATGGTAATTTATATTGTAATGATAATAGAGACCCTTGTTCTTTATTGTTTTGTCCTTTGTTACACTGCACTTGCACTTAGTATTTTCAGATATAACAGGTTTTGTGTGCAATGATGCATAAAAAGAATTATTCTTTATATCCAAACCTTAACGTTAATAAAGTTTAATTTAATAATATATTTGTAGATAATTATAACAACATTGATAACACATGAATTCTATTGTCTATGCGTATAAAAAACGGCCTTACCACTTGCAATATATGAATAAATCATACGTTCTTTAACAGTTAATGAAGGTAAAAAATTAATCATCCTGATATGGTATTTTGCCGCAACAGCACCTTGGTGCTTGCATGAAGCACCTGACACTCCAACAGGACAACTACAAGTTCCAATTGTACTATTCACAGTATATACAAGATCCTTTTTACTTGTACTTTGAACTAAATATTCATTTTCATTATTAGATTTTTGAATAGAGCTTTCATTAACCTTTTCCTAGCCGGGACACAAGAATCTTCTTGTAACTTTCATATGACTATGGTTTTGATATGCAAATCCAAATAAGCGATGCTCATAAAATCTTTCCATGTTTTCTACAACAAAACAAAACACTTGAACCAAATTGAATGCCTGAGTCCTTCCAAAGATAATATCCTTAAGTAAACCGAAACTACACTCAACGTAATTGTTCGTATGATTGCTACGCATTAATAAACCTACACGAAAAGAATGTGCCCAATGTTCACGACGAGCCCAAAGATGTTCATAGTGTCTTTTAAGCAAAGGATACAGCTTATAATAGCTCTCTTTAAGTTGCTGATAATAAAATTCTATTTCATTTGCTGTTTGTGCATAAAGAATTTTCTTCATTATGTTCATTATCAATGGTCGGTGCTCCTTGTTAATGCCATGCTTAGAATTGTACAACCATCTCCAAAATGCCTGGAGAACATGAAATGTACATAAAAATTGCTTTGATTGAGGCCAACTAAACCTTAGTGCATTTCTTTCAGCAGCTGAATCGTCTGTTAAAAAAAATTGAGGCCCGATATTTTGTCCACGACCAAAAAATGCATGCTTTGGAAGAATTTTTTTTAAGATACTAATTGCTTCTTTAATAGTAATCTCAAGTTCATTCGACATTATGAATAAACCTAATGGTAATGCACCTACAATGCAACTAGTGTAAAGTAATGTTATTGACATATTTAACGGCTCAAATGATGCGGATGCATCTACATAACAAATTTTGCTTGCTTGAATAATTCACTCATGAACCCTACTCATTAGCCCGGTAACAATACATAAAATAAGTGCTTTTCCACTTTGTAAATTAAATTCCTGAAGAATTGCCTGATCATGACCAGAAGCATTATAATTTTCAACTTCTTCAGACAATCATTTAAACATAGACATTCCATTTTTACTACCAAGTTGTAAATTACGATAATTATTAAAAATATTTTTAACATCATCATAACTAGGATTAATAGCATGGTCAGCAAGTATCTTAACAAGCTCCTCATTTGATAAAGCAGAAAGATGAATTTCATCCTCATAAACATACAACGCACTTGCAGGTGAATGTCCATCATGAAACAATTGCATGTATTTTTTATAGGTTTGTTCATTTACATGGTGAAAGCTAAGCGCTTCTGCTGAATTAATAACATGGTTATGCGTAAAATGCAGATTAACCTCAAATGGATAATTAGTATTCACACGATAACGTTCTAATCTTAAACTCATAGTTGCTGAGCATTCTGTATTCCTTTTGCGTGTAGTATTTCTTTTGCATGTGCTTTGTGTATGTTTATTTTTAGGATTTCCTTGTTTGTCCTTAACTTTTTGACTATGGATACAATGTCTTAATTCTCAAAATATTACATGTGTTTCTTTAACGCCATATCCTTTTGTTTGTGACATTGTTGTCTTTGAATGACTTTTAAAATTAGAATACCATGTCTTTATACTTTCTAGAGTTCCAATATTAACAAATGCGTTAACTTCAAACTAAAGTATTTCAAAATTTTCTTTAGTTCTGTATGACGGCAATTCAGTAAAACGTTGAATACTATAATTGTAGTTTGGAGGAAAGACATCTCTAAGAGAATTTGGTAATAAATCCCAGGTACATTCCTAAAAATGTGTTTATTTTATAAAAAATGCATACAATATATACCAGGTAAATAACTTTTATTTATATATATACCTGTATATATTGATTGTCTATATCATTAAGAAATATTTCACTGGTATTTCCATGTTCAAAAGTTCTAAAAGTATCTTTACATTCAAAAGTTGTCTTGCTGATACTTTCAGATTTAAAACTTGCATCGCTAATACCTTTATAAATTATTTCACCTGTACCTTCACACATAAAAGTTGTATCATCAGTACTGTCATATCTATTAATTATTTTTCCAATATTTTCGCATTCGACAATCAGTTTGCTGGTACTTTTACATTCAATAATTGGTTCATCAGTACTTTCGCATTCAATAATTGGTTCGCTAATACCTTCACATTTGACAATCGGTTCGCCAATACCTTCACATTCGACAATCAGTTCGTTAATACCTTCATATTTGAAAATCAGATTTCCAGGACCTTCACATTCACAAGACATTTGACAATATCTTCGCTGGTATCTTTGCATATGCTTAATTTATTATTCAGTAAAACAAATTATGAATCGTTATTACTTAGGTTTTTATATTAAGATGTTAAGGGTTCTGATGCGTATATAAACTTGCCTTTTTTTTTTTTATAGTGTATAAAAAAAGCTTTCCTTAACAAATATCGTTATCCTACTAATTGGTATGAGGTAAATATCATCTAAAAAATTTGCTCAAAGTTATTATTCATTCTTTTGCACTCACTATGTTTGTCTATTATGTTTCCTTTTTCTAACACCTCGTCCTCTTCTTCAATCGACTTCTCTTTCTGAATACTATGCCCAACAAGAACAATAATTATCAGCATTAGGTAAAATTTACTGAAAAAGCCAAATAGAAGTTTGTGTTGTGTCGATCAAACCTCTTATTTATTATTTTTTTCTTTATTACGTCACAGATCTGTCAATAATAAACTTTAAATTACTTAAAATATGTTCTATATTAAAATTATATATTACTACTGTATTGTTATCGACTGATTCTATTGGTTACCATAGTGGCGGAGGGTGCATGTGTAACAGTACTTGCATATGATCTACATAATCTGGTACAGAATACTGATGTGCGTAATTAAGTAAATCTAGAAACTTATCTGTAACCTAAACCTACTAGAGTGATCAAAGCTCATCTAGATTTGAGATAGATTAACAATATGTGAAGAGTGTGTGCAGTATTTAATCCAATTAGAATATCAAAGTGATACTTTGTTGTATGCTATTTGTAAAGTAGTATGTGAGGTATTTGTATCTAAAAATACTAATTGTGAAGAAGCTAAGGGTGGTTGGGTTGTAAAGATTGAGGTTGGGGTCTTGAACTACAGTAAGGGATTCAAATATTTGTATATTAATTTATTAAAGGATGATTTTAATGCTCACTAGTGGTAAAAATCATTATATTATATGATTACTTATAGAGTTTGGAACTGGTTTATAAATCAGTTTGACTAGGCTTAACTCTAATTATATAAAAGCCTGATCTGGTTCTGACTTAACTCCAAGAGTTGAGTCTTTGTTACCCAAGTCAGACTTAGAACTTTGAATTGCATTTGTATACAAAGTATATATAGATATATATATATATATATATTTTTTTTTAATATTAAGGTGACCATTTAGGCCCTTGGCACTTTATTAGTACAAGCGATTAGGCTATATGTCTGAAGACTTGATCACATGTTATATTGGTATTACAAGATTACAACTAGCTACATATACAACTTTTGGTTATCTAATTTAAGTAGTCCACCCGAAGGTTCTACACTAGCTACCATACCTATAGCCTAACTAGGAAGCTATCTATTTAAACTCTTTGGTACTACCTCTGTTCCATGCTTCCTTCTAATATACCCTTTCAGTGTAATTTACTATTAAAGACCCTAAGACTTTAGCCAAACCAATACTCATTTCTTTCAGAACAGGGGGCATTTATCCTTGTGGTAAACCTACAGAATAGTACATGTCCTACACATGTGCTCATCTGCATATTCAGTAGCATTTTTCTTAACTAGTGCTGCCATCACCCAGTTCGTATCTCAAGCCATCTTTGGATGCTGCCGCAACCCGGTCCGTATCTCAAGCTACAAGCTTCCTAATTTAGTTCTCTGTTACTTACTATTGCCCTTGCAAGGTTCATAACAACCCCGGTACCCACATTCGAACCTTCTTCTTTCCCAGATTTTTTACCGGTCCCTCCCTTACTTCTAGCTGGCAACACGGAAAGGTTGGTTTGCCCAGGCTCTAAGTGCCTCACGGTCGCCCTTCCCTTGATACATGCTTCCAGAGCACATGTCTTTTTCCTCCAGTTGGTGTTCTGGTGGTTCAGCTGGTATGTCCCCCCACTAAAGGACCTGATCATTCAGTTTTCTAGTTCCAGTCTCTGGTTTTGAATCCAGCCTTCCTGTAGTACCATCAAAGATCACTGCTATTCCCAACTCGGGACTTGCCAAACGGGTTTTTAGTTATTCTGGTTCTCTGGATTTATTGCGCCAAAGCTCCCATTCGAGATAGTGTGACCAAGGTTACAGATATCTAAGCCCAACCAATGTTGATAACCATTAACCGTATCACAGACCTATTTTCAAAATTATTATCTGTGAGATTCGAACTCTAGACTTGCCGCTTGGGGTGCAGCAACCTAGATATATATTTTTATACTATATCCAAAACTAAAAGCATATACAGATGGAGTTGAAGTTTCAAGTCTGACTTGAGACCAAACTTTAACAAAAACTTGACTTTTGAAGTCAAGTCAAAATTAGACCTTAATTTTTATATCTCTGAATATTGGGTATTATAGAAACATGTTTAATCACACAGCTACTAATCACAAAATTTATACTCTTTTCCAATTATATATACAAAAATACAATACATAAGATGGCTACAAATAATAAAAATCTAGTTTAGTCCTGTTTAGTCCTATTTTACAGAAGTCAAGTTTTGGAACATATCTATTTATATATATATAGTGACAGTACTACTAAATCAATATTTTAAATTGCAAATATAATCTGGGTATTCAAATATATGGTAAGTATATTATATATAATAAAACTCTACTTACTTTAATACAAAAAAGACAATAATATAAGCTTTGCTAATCATATATTTGCAAATTTTCTTTTTTAATCAAATAGCTAAATGATAATACAGTAATGTATATACTTATCCTATATATAAACCTATACATATTTTAATAACCTGCACTTTAACCTTGTAATTATTAATTATGTGTATATATGCAAATATATACAAATACAAGAAATTATATATACATAAATTTAATCCTAATATATACTGTAATTATAACAATAGTATATATTATAGCATATGAGTTTTAACTATAAATAAAATAGTTATAATAGAATATGTTATTCACTTATATAGACAAATGACCTAAATTACTTAAGTATAAACAAAATAAATTTAGAAAACTAAGATTATGAGCATAGTAAAGATCATGATATAAATAAAAATATTACTTTTCTTTAATATTAAGATATTTTTTTTGATAGTGACTGGGTGTTCTATATAACAAACAATTACATTGTGGTCTTGAGCTAGATTTATCTTTATGATTTTCTTGTCTATTAGTATTTGTAACATTATGCATTACAGTTTTCTTTTTTTATAATTCTACAGCACTCTTGATTCTTTTCTTGCTAGAAGTATCTCAAATTTTAGTAATATGAGGATCATTTATTTGATTAATTAAATTTTGCTGCAAGGTAGTAATACTATCTTTATTCTGAATATTATTGCCACTTTCTGCTTCTTCTAAATTATCATTCTTATTACAGTTATTTTATTTAGTTAAAATAAAGATTTTTAATAACTGAATTAGTTCATTATTACTCTTTGTTTTCAATACAATGTTAATTGCTATTTTGGCTATTGAAAAGGCTATTTCAAATTTATTTCTTTAAGGAATAATGTGAAAAATGTTTGTTTTGTACTCAGTGAACTGAAAATTTTGATAGCTTTGAAGAGTAACATTTGGTTAAATAGTATATTCACTTGATGATTTTAATACTATAAGAACTGGTGAATTGTCAAGAACTTCATATAACTTTGTCAAAATATCATCTTTATATTAACATATTGGCATAATACTAATATAAAATTTTGCAATATTGGAATAAAGCATTACTGCCAAAAATGGTGGCAAATAATTCTTTTTGTAATTGTTTCAAGGCAGATATAAATATGCATTCTATTATTAAAAAGAATTAACAGATTGTTTTTATAAGAAAAACCTCTTATTTGATGAATTTTCCAGACTTCAATAATCTTGGATGTATTAGTATTATTTAAAATAGCCTTTAATATTGCTTGTAGTTTATTGACTATATCCTCTTTAAAATTATTATTTATTATGTCAAGATTTAAGTTCTACAATTTAATAAATAAATATCTTGGCTTTTATATATGCATATTATTCTAATTTAAAAATAAAACTATACTTCTAGTATTGAATGCTCTAATCATCCTTCATAAGTAAAAAACTGTGAAATTTGAAAGTATTGCAAGGATAATATACAAGGTAGTAAAAAATTAACAAGAATTATATTGATATTTGAAAAGAATTGAAATAAAATATGTAGAAGCCCAATAATTGAATACTGTGCCTTAATGTCTATCAATTTGTAATATCTAATTTTAGCTTCATATCTTTTATTAATTGCTTCTTTAACTTTGCAGAGTATACTGGCATTATTAAAAGTTTTTTTTAATAATATCATTAAATGATTCAATACTCTGAGTACTCTGAATACCCATATTGAAATAAAATAGTGTATAAGCTTTGGCCCAACTAATTTGATTAGAAAATAACTTTTTGATCATATAATGTTCATATTTTGAAAATATCTTCACTATAAATTTCTATCATCTTTCAAAAATCTCTATACTTAATACATTTTGATATGAAAAAAAAGCCTTCTTGAATTCATCAAAATTTTGAGCCCAAAGACATTTTAAGGTATTTGATTATATTTTGCAATATATAAAACAAACAATAGAAATGATATATATTTAAAAAAACTTGAGAAATAGCAATGATCAAGCTGGGTTCAGAATCTGTTCAAAATGATTTTAAAATTATATTATTTGTTGCTTTTAACAAGTATTGCAAAATCTAAATATAAGTCAAAGAAAGCTCATATTTTAAATTTATTAAAAAAAACAATAAATCGTTTTTATTGTTTTTTTTAATAAATTTAAAATATTTTTTTTTCATCCTCTATCAATACATTTGCTATATTTATAAATCTTCCATAATTTTCTTTTATCATAAAAATGCTTAAAAACATATTGTACTTATTAGTCATTGAATGTGTTATCATTAAGTACTACATTAAAAAAATGCTGATATAATTCCTGTTAAGAGGATGATATCCAAAAAGCATCTGATAAATAATATTTATTACTGACTATTTGATAAATATCTTTCA